CAGGGTCTTACATGCACAGCCTACAACGCCAGCAAATCAGCTGTACACCAAATGTGTCGCTCGCTAGCGCAAGAATGGGGCCAGTATGGCATTCGAGTGAACACGCTTTCGCCAGGTGTAAGTCTATTTGCATCTCGCTATCTAGACATCATACTGAATGCATCCACAGTATATCCGAACTGCGATGACCGACGAACTTCTCGCAGCAGACCCAGACGTAGAGACGACGTGGATGGCTGGCGCACTGCTCGGGAAGCTTGGTGTACCGGATGACTTCAAAGCACCCGCAGTGTTCTTGCTAGCAGAAGGGAGTCGATTCATGACTGGTGCCGACCTCAGAGTGGATGGCGGTCATTGCGCGTCTGCCTAAGTTTTGTGAGGTCGGTGTAATCTGCTCAAATTCCGTTGGCGGTAATGCTGATGTTTGGAGTGGACGACTCATGACCGTAGACCCGTGGTTCGCTATTACAACATATGGTAGAACCCACTATGGGCAAGATCTCAATACTTTTAAAGCTACTTTCCTTCCTCACTATTCCTCCACTGCAACACTCCTCACAAAACTCAAAACAGCCTTCACACAAAACTATCGAGTTCAAAGCAGCCATGTCAGACGATAACACCTTCACGTCATACGATCAGTCGTTCGACTACCCACCTTCTTACTCTACGCATGATCACATGTCGCATACTACATCAGACAACTTCTGCAGTACCGCTTCCCACCCACCAACACACAACACTCCCGATCACATCATCTCCCATCCAGAACCCGTCCGTTTCCCCGACGCCCACCATTCATCAAACCACCATCTCGCACCCAGCGACCCAAACTACGACATCGAAGCCGCATCGCACTTATTAAACGCTTCCAGCACTACGAACATCGCTCTCTCCTCGCTGCAATCAAATGCCGCAGGGATCCAACGCACAACTCCCATACCAGCAGCTGAGGCCCCAGCCCATACACGCAGCACTGCACTCACGACGCCGAAGCGAAGACCGAATTCTGAGGAAGACGTCTGCTGCTGCTTCACTATCGTTCTTGCCTTGGTGATCGTCGTTATCGTCTTGTCTGTAATCATTTTCAAAGCTAAGAAGGATCTGAAGAATGGGAAGGTTCAAGGTATAAGTGCGGATGGGAGACTGAGTGGCGACTGGGATGACTGGAATGCCTTGAATGATGCCCTAGATGGAATGTATAGGGGGAATTGGGCGCGTTGAATGAACTGTGAGTTGCTTTGGTGGAGGTAGAATCTGGGAGGGGGTGGGCTGTAGGAAGTGGTCTACCTGGGTAGACATGTTACTTTCGATAACGACGGTCAGGTTACTGCAGCTTCAAGTTTGCTTCAGAATTTTCCTGATTCCCGAAGTCTGTAGTTATAATCTCATTCCATTCGATACCAGACACACATCACATGCTTCCACCGTCCCGGTGACTTTGATCGTTGAAATGCGTTTTAGGCGTCCATGTACTGCCTGTACGTCATCACGACCCCACATCCTAAAGGCACCCGACCAATGGCGGTTCTTTAGATGCATCTCAACCAACGCTCTATGAAGGATTTAGATCTAAGTTTACGCCCCGTTGTCAACATCGTTATGAGTCTTGCGTCCCTTAAGAATTTGTGACAGCACGGCCGCTCACATGCTCAAGGCCAGCCACAGTCACATCCTTACCTACCTAAGCAGGTAGTGCCTGACACCGGCGGTCTCACTCCAAACAAGCCAGGAAACTACATCATTCCTCAAGATGACAGGCGTGATGCTATTCTGCATCGCTGAGGAAGCGAAGCCCGCAAGTCTTACCTCTTCCCAACCCCACCTCTCTCACAGATCTAACAACCTGTCCAGTTCGTCCACAAAGCCACCCACAACATGCCCGACGACTTCTCCCCCTTCTACATCGCCTCCTCCAAAGCCAGTCCCAAGGCCCGCACCGACTACACCAAAAAGCCCTCCAGCCCCTCCTTCCCCTCCCCCTTCACATCCACATCAGAATGCAAAGACTGGCTCTTACGCAACCAATACAGCGTAAACTTCATAAACCAAAACATCATGTTCGTCGCCGATGCACGTAGTGCCGAAGATGAAACTCTCCTGGCTTACACGTATTGCGAGAGGACTATGCGCTTGGGACCGAATCACGAATGGGTGCTTCCGCCAAAAGCGAAGACGTGGTATGAATGGCGGATTAGGTATCGGGATGCGCTGATGTTTCAGGTTCATATGCAGGAGGGGGAGTTGAATGAGACGTGGTCGTTGTTTTATTTGAGAGCGGAGGAGATTATGGATGAGGATGGGGTTGTTGATATGGAGAAGGCTACGAAGATTTGTTACGGAGACGCGGCATAGATAGGGAGCTGAAGCGCTTCGCGGGATGTGTTTTGTATGACATTGCGGCAACTGTAGTTTTCATGGATAATCTTACAGAATTTGCTTGCATCTGGGTCTCGAAAGAGCTGATAACTAAAGGTGGCATGGCTCAGGCTTTCCGCGCGCCATGAATTTAGAGGCTGACATATGCGAAACCTTCCACGTTGGCCCTTGCCTCTGATGAGGTAGACTCAACCGTCAATACGGTCAGCTAGGTGAACTTGCGGCAGGTGTATACGGAGCGGACCAACGGCGCGATCGCACTCCAGTATGACGGCAGAGGATTTACTCCGCAAACTCTATATTCGTCATCCCCTCATTTCAAACTCTCCACGCTCATGTTTACTCCGGGATGCGATGATCACTCGTACTAGGTCTACTTAGTCCAGCTCTAGGCCGCGCTACAATCGATGAATGCGACACCAGCAGCCCGATGGCTACCCAAGTATCGACGGTGTATGGAATGCCTTGGGCGACGATGAGGATGAATTTGAGCTGAAGGGGAGTTTGTCGTACGAGACATTGCGATGCATAAGGCGACTCAAGTCAAGGTCGCCAAACGGAAGAACCAACAACCCGCAAAAAGTCTAGCCGTATAATGCGGAGTGAGCGATTGGTTAGCCAGCTTATTAAACCTGTCATTTCCAAACAATGCCATATCGTGACGTCTCTTATGCCACGTGAGCGAGGCGCTCTAAAGAGCAAGATGCATATTGCATTTCCCCTAGCAGCCAATACATGTTGCTAGCGTAAGGGGTAGCCACATGGCAGCGCTAGGAGCGAGGCGACGATCCCCGCACCGTCGTTCAGCTCATGTAGTGCATATCGGTTAGAACAATCGTTGTGCTTGTTGCGTGGCGTCTGGATATTCAGCTCTCTTCATGGCGATGTAGTCAGCCTGAATCGCAGTCAGCCAACGCCGAGATGCTTGGTTCCGGTATCGGCGATATGGTGTCAGGACATCGACCACGCCGTCAACAATCTCCACAGCAGGCCTATGCAAAGTAAGAGGCCTTGCGACAATATCCATCCTCATAGATCCCCGCGGCGAGTTTCAGATCAACCACGGCCCGTGGCGCATCGGGAAAGCCGCGTTAATCCGCGCTCAAAATACTCCATGTGGATTGTTTGTTACACTAGATCCGGCGACAGCACAGCTGCGGCGCGGATAAAATGGCAAACCGCATCAAGCGCCATGAAACCTGAGATCGGGGCATTCTAGATGTGGCCCAGTGGAGTCCCACAAGGCCAGAAGACGCGTAATTGCTTTTGAGATGCTGCGAGGCGAGGTATCGTGGTGGCATGGTCTAGGGCTGGAGGGCGATTGGTGTAGCCACGTCGTTCTTGTGTGACTCTTGAGATTAGTCGTCGAGATGGTGGTGTTCGAGGTAGGAAGAACAAACAAGAAGGCTAGATGTCTTTGATTAGTTTATCGAATCGCGATGCCGCGAGTGCTTCCCCGTGAGCGTAGACTACCCCAGCAGAAGGAACGTGCCAATTAGTATACTCGTAGCGTTCATGCAAGATCGTATGTATAGCAAGCGATGTGTTTGTTCCCCGGAGGTGGTGTGTAGAAAGCCGTTTGTTGGTGAATGTTGGGCAAGGGGCTCCTTGCGATATATTTCCGACCCCATGCAGTTAATCCCCAATGCCCTGGCTGCCGGGTTCGCTCCTGCATGTGAGGAGAAGCGACCCAACGATAACACGGGTGTCACCAACGTCAATATGGATGGTCGTGTTGCGCAATGGAGGACGAAGGCAGACGACATATGCAGGCGAAACAGCGCTGCAGGCAGTGGAAGGCTGACGGCATTCCAAGGACTCCACTTGGTGCTATCAGAACTTCATTAACGCGACTAGGCGAGTCTCCGTCAACCGTCGCATGGACTAGCTCCACCTTTATTTCCAACACGAGCGACCCATTCCGAAGATTGACAAGATTCCATTTGCAATCGACGAGGTGCGCCCGTGGTGTGCGTCTCGTCAGCTACGATAACAGAGATTCGGTCCTAGATACCCGTGGACAAGAGGCGACTTCCACAGGGCGTGGCTGCGGGCGCCGGCCGGCGACCTCCGAATAGCGCGTCCGCGCTGATACGCCAGGGCTGGCGTGGCTTCGAGGGGGAAAAGCATGTGTATGCGCCAAGATGAGGTGTCGCGAAAGGCGAGCTGCCGTGCCCGGGACTTCACTCTACGTTCCCCAGGCTTAGGCTGAGGGAAGCGGCCGGTCACCTTCACGCGCAGCACGCCGAGACAGCCTAGCTTGCCGCGAAGTGGAATCGCATGGGCCGCGCGACTAGTCCAACTAAAGCAGGGCTTGATCGGCCTGATATGGGTCATTGGTTCTTCGCGGGAGGTCGAACGCGACAGGGTTGGTCGTCGCCGCTGGTCCTTATCTTTTTGGTGCGGGATACACTTTCATTCACATCCGCCGTCCAGGCCCTGTGCTACGAACGCACCCTGACTTAAAAGACTCGCTTCGCCTTCACTGGTAAATCGAGCAGAGCTTGACGTCGATCCTCTCGCCGGTCTACTCCGCATCAACTGTACCTCTTCATCGCACACAACTCAACTCAATTTTGCGATTATCAACCGCGGTGCCGTCGAGAAAAAATTCTGCCACAATGTCGGGCTTTGTTCACAAAGTCAATGGCGCGGTCGCGCGCTCCGCCGTCGGACGGTACTTTCGCCTCGAGGGATCAGGGCATGTATGTATATCGCATGTCGATAATCGGTACATGCACTAACAGCCCTATAGCCCAAAGAGCGCAAGGGGAGCTACTTCTTCACTGAGTTCCGCGCGGGACTAGCCACCTTCTTCGCCATGGCTTATATCATCTCTGTTAACTGTATGTCCATTGCGGGATGTCGTTGGCAGAACCGCATCTGATGACCATGTGTAGCATCCATCGTGTCAGACACTGGTGGTACTTGCGTGTGCCCAGGCCTCCCGGACGACCCCATTTGCGAGACCAACCCACAGTACGCCCTCTGTGTCCAGGAAGTCAGACGTGATCTGGTTACCGCGACGGCTGCCATCTCCGCTTTGACTACTTTCTGCATGGGCTTGTTCGCCAATCTGCCCATTGCCCTGGCTCCGGGTATGGGGCTGAACGCTTACTTTGCGTACACCGTAGTTGGTTTCCATGGTACAGGTACGTTGCACCAATGCGCCATTCCCCGTTCCCGTTTATGTATCCCCGTTATGCGGTTCCCTAATTGGGTCTTGCTTACCGGCGCCACGGGTCGTACCAGTTGATCTTCATGGAACGTTGCTAATTGCTTTTTAGGCATGGTCCCCTACGAGGTCGCTCTTACTGCCGTATTCGTCGAGGGTTTTGTCTTTGTTGGTCTTACTATGCTGGGTATCCGACAATGGCTTGCACGAGCTATTCCTGCTAGTATCAAGCTTGCCACCGGTGTCGGTATCGGACTGTACCTGACTATCATTGGTCTCGCCTACTCCGCTGGTATCGGTCTCATCACCGGTGCTCAATCGACCCCTCTCGAACTCGCCGGTTGCGTTGCTGCAGACCAGGTTGATGGCGTCTGCCCAGGAAGTGTCAAGATGAGGAGCCCAACCATGTGGATCGGTATCTTCTGTGGCGGTGTCTTGACCGTCATGCTTATGCTGTACCGCGTCAAGGGTGCCATCATCATCGGCATTCTCCTCGTTTCCATCATCTCGTGGCCTCGCCCAACAAGCGTCACCTACTTCCCATACACCGAGACTGGCAACTCCGCTTTCGATTTCTTCAAGCAGGTCGTTACTTTCCACCCGATTGGCAAGATTCTTGCTGTTCAGCAGTGGAACATCTCGGAGCACGCTGGTCAATGGGGTCTAGCTTTCATTACCTTCCTCTACGTCGATATTCTGGACTGTAAGTTGCGCGTTAGACACTTTTTGAGCAATATGCTGACATAGCTAGGCACTGGTACCCTCTACTCCATGGCTCGTTTCTGCGGTGTTATCGACGAGCGCACCCAGGACTTCGAAAACTCCTCCATCGCCTACTCCGTCGACGCTCTCGGTATCAGTATCGGATCGCTTATGGGATGCCCTCCAGTCACCGCCTACATCGAATCCGGTGCCGGTATCTCTGAAGGAGGCAAGACCGGTCTTACCGCCATGTTCTCTGGTATCTGCTTCTTCATCGCCATCTTCTTCGCTCCGATCTTCGCATCCATCCCTCCCTGGGCTACCGGCTGTACCCTGGTCATTGTCGGTTCACTCATGGCAACCTCGGCCAAGGACATCAACTGGCGCTACCTCGGCGATTCCATCCCCGCTTTCCTCACCATCGCAGTGATGCCCTTCACATACTCCATCGCCTACGGTCTGATCGCCGGTATCTGCTCGTACATTCTCATCAACGGCACCGTCTGGCTCGTCGAGCTGACTTCTGGTGGTCGCATTGTACCTCCCAACAAGGACGAGAAAGAGCACTGGACCTGGCGTCTCGAGGGCGGCCTCCTTCCCCCGTGGGTTAAGAGGCTCGCCAGCGGAAAGAAGGACTTCTGGAGATCTGACCCGGAGACTATGGGTGTCTCAGAGCCGCATAGCGGAGGCAGCTCGGCTCACGATGACAAGGAGTTCGTCACCGATAAGCGTGCGTCGTAGACTGTCTCTGCTTTGATATTGAGATTGTATATGGGAGTTTGATAGTCATTTTGCGACCTTTTTGTATACATGGCGTTATTACGTCGAGGCGCCTTCATGCGCGCCGAAGCGGGTAGTTTTCTTCGATTATACCCTCACTTGTATCTGATATAGATCGGATTGGTTACAATGGTACACTAAAGTTCACATCTTCATCCTTAGAATTTTCGCACGTGATCACGTTTGGATCATCACAAAGTGAGATAACGCCATGTTCCAAAGCCACCAGCGCACGACGTCTGACGTTCAGCCCATCTCGTACAAGGATATCCAGACTTGTCAGACACCGCTCTTGCAGCAGGCGCAACCTGAAGCCACATCGGCAGCGCCACATCCGAGTTACCGACCGAGGCAAGAACCTTGAGATGTCAATAACCATTCAACTATCGCTCTTTGGAACTACGTGGGTTATTCCCCAACTGCAATCACAACGCCCATGATGCACAATCGACACACGCTGCCTAGGCAGGCGCTGCGTGACACCGCGCTTCATACGCCGCACTTCAGACACGCTTATTGTCCTTATCCCTGCCGCCCTTGTTTTCCCTGTCATCTTCCTCATCTTCCGCGAAGTCGTACAACGCCAGTCCGCCACTGCTCCTGCCCAACGACTTGTTAGAGGCATACATATTTGGCTGCAATACCACCAAAGTTTCTACTCTTCTACGTTTGCAGACTACGAGCGGGCTGGTCGTCGTCTTGGAGAGGCGCTGTAGGCTTGGTGGACGATTTCATGACGATGCTGGGCGTGGGTTCTACGGGAGCTGCTTCGATGTCTTCTCTTTCATATCGTCGAGAAATTTGTCCGTGATGTCGGTTGTTCCATGTGTAGATCCCGGAGGTACTTGATGGTCCAGCCTGTTTTCATGATGGATTTAGACTCAACGTGAAAGGCACGCCCAATAAAAAATGTAGGGCATGACGCGAAAAGACTGTCATGTGTATGCCAAGGACTTCGTCTTGCGCGAGAGGTTATTTACGGCGCAGTTCTTGATATGATTGCTGGATACTGCAGACGCGACCGAGATCCAGAACGAAATCTGCAGAAGTCGAGTAGAGAGGTATGCCGGTGTAAAGTGAAACGGAGTGAAAATTTTCTGCCTCCTCGCATAGCAAACAAGTTGGTTGTTGTCCTATACGCAATGCTTGGCATCCAAACTCTGGTGTCTACATCGTTACATTTGCTCTCCCTTACACTTTTGCTGACGCAATACTGGAATTCCCACAAACCTTCACGTAACAAAGGCGAAAATGTGTGATCCATACGCAGCAGCAAAACTGTATCGGAAGACCTTCGAGGACGCAGAAGCGCTCTTCGACAGCGGCGATATAGCTGGCTGCATATCGGCAGCTAAGCACAACTTAACGTAAGTGGCAGCAAAAAAGTATCCGCCAAAATTAGTAATGCGACTGACTTTCCCCAGCGACACAACCCTCCCGTCGTACTACATTATCAGAAACTGCATACTTCTTACGGGCGCTGTGGATAACTGGGACGATGGCAATGAATGGAGGCTCGCCGCGGTAAGATTCCCAGTGTACAGATATAATGTGAGACATACGCTGACGTCAAATGTGGCAATTCAGGAGAGCATATACAGTGATGCGTTGAAACGATCAACGGAAAAGAACGATGCGAAATCGCTCACCGTCCTACAAGGTCTCCGCAAGGAGCTTGACGTGTGGGCTAGGCAGCGAGAGCGGGATTTCCAGGAATACATGCTTGAACAAGAGGGAGAGGACGACGACGAAGAGACGGACTCGGAAACAGATGGAGTTGAGCTAGACGACACCGAGGAGGAGGCGGAGATGGAAGCCAAGGGCGTTGAGTTGGGCGAGGGCAACGCGCTGCTGGGAGGTGGGGACACTCAACTTCTTCCGATCCGCGGACACCAAGCTCCCACGGCAAGCCTCGTGGTTAATCGAGAGGACAAGCGTGCTGCCATTCTTGCAGCGACCGCCTTCCTTTTCGAATGCCAGTCGCACATACCGGAGCATATGCAAGGTCAGTATACCCAGGCGGTCCTGGAACTTCAGGAAGCTGCCATGCGCAGCATCAACAGCATGTCTTCCACAGCTTCCGCAGCTTAATGGTTTCAGGTATGCATTGCGCGAAAGGGATGTCCTGGATTCGGAGGCCTCATCGGAGGCGTATATGATAAACTTCCTTTGTAAAAGATCGAAAATGACAGGTGCATGTACTATGCAGGACGTAAAGTGTTTCCATGGTCAAGCCACTCATCGGAGGCGGCCCGGGGCAGCCCGATGGCCGATGTGTGGCTTGAGCTCCGAGGTCCCCGGCCCCCTCCTTCCAGGAATCTCGTGATACACATCCAACTCGGTTCCGCATACAACACTACCGTCGACTCCGCTCGTATTACTTCAATTAACTCTCGCATTGTCTCGCAGTATACATTTGGACGTACAGCATACATAAGACGCACCATTCTACAGCTTAGCATACCTCGAGATTCCAGGCGCGGACATCCGGTGGCTTACGAGATCTTTTTCTAAGCAAAGTGGTAGCGAGCTCTACGCTTTGCAAGCACGCGGAACGGTCAAGGTCCATACATCTTCCCTCGACACGACTACTATAAGAGAAAGCGATACCGGGCGAAAGTAATTGGACCAGAGTCATACCCCAAACATGCCTGCAGAACTCCAGAACGGGCTGCCTGCCCACGGCACAAATGGCGTCAACGGCAACGCGACGGAGCTCTCAAATCCCACACCCGCACACCCAGCGTTCGACTCGATACCGGATGTCATACAAGCCTTCGGTACGTGTCTGCGAGCACCACAAACTCCAGCAGCAACCCTACCCCTCACCCCACTCCACCCTTACTAACGCGCCTTCCAGCGGACGACGAATTCGTAATCGTCCTCGACTCACCCTCGCGCGAAAACGAAGGCGACCTGATAATCGCAGCCGAAGCCCTCACCCCCTCAAAAGCCTCCTTCATGATCCGCTACTCAAGCGGCTACATCTGCGCACCCCTCCCCGTCTCCCGCGCCGCAGCCCTGCACCTCCCGCAAATGGTCGCCGACAACGCCGATCCCAACCGCACCGCCTACGCCGTCAGCATCGACTCATCCGACGCGTCCGTCACAACCGGCATCTCAGCGACAGACCGCAGCTTAACATGCCGCATGCTCGCCGACCCCAGTGCCAAAGCTAGTCACTTCAGGAGACCGGGTCATATATTGCCGTTGCAGGCGCGGGATGGTGGTGTGCGTGAAAGGAGGGGGCATACGGAGGCGGCGGTCGATCTGTGTCGGTTGGCGGGCAAGCAACCTGTTGGTGTTATTTGCGAGTTGATTACCGATGGCGACGAGGTGCCTGGTAAGCCCGAGTTGATTGGTGGGGGCATGATGAGGAGGGATGACTGCTTGGCTTTTGGCAAGAAGTGGGGGATCAAGGTGTGTACCATCGATGATATGGTGAGGTATATTGAGGAGAATGATGGGGTCTTGGGCACATCCTCATAGTTTGAGGCGGGCAAGGGACCGGGTAAAGGTGCGATCATGAGAGGGAGGACATTTGTGAGATGATCCCCTTGGTATGTTGTACGTGGACGGTGTCGGCGCACTTTGAGGATACACGCGCTTTAGTCATGGCATGGAAGAAAACCTGATATTGTACTATTAGATACTCCAATCCAGCGCAAGCTTCTCTATCCAAAAGCCAGGAAAACCGTACACATGTCATTCTATACACTCCGACGAAAACGAGCTCCGCCCACGCTTATATTATGGAAAGCAAACACAACGTTCCCGCCCATCGCAAACAGCACAGTACGCGCCGAAGCCAAGCAAGCAAACCACCTCCCGGCTATACACTCCAGACGATAAGACCGCCCTCATCCACTCCCCCCATAGAACTCCTCCAGCTTCCCCACCACCTCCTGCATAACCTCTTCCCTAACCGCAAAATTCACCCTCGCCCAACCCCCATCCTTCTCCACCCCATTGAACGCCCGCCCAGGCGCAACCTTGATCCCACCTCTCCCTTCCAACTCCCTCCAGAAAGCGTTCTCCTCCTCACCTGTCCTAGTCTTCTTTGCTAGTTTAGCAGCGAGGAAGGGGCCGTGTGTAGGTACCACGATTTCGATGTCGTGGCGTCGGAGGAAGGAAGCGAGCATGTTGTAGGAAGTTGACAAGCGGGATGTGTTTAGAGTGAGAAGGGAGGGGAGAAGGGATGATGTAAGCAGGGAGGTTAGATAGATGGTCGAGAGGGAGGAGGGGTGTGTGGCTGTCAGTGCCAGGGAAGTGAGCAGAGGGGTGTTTTGTTGGGATACCACGCAACCCTGAAATACTCATATCAGCTCCTGGTCATTCCAGCCCGTGCAGTTTTGCGGGGACAAGAAGAGCGACTTACAACTTTCAGTCCACCCAATCCGAATAATCGACTTGCATCCCACACCACATGTACACGACTTGGATCGACCTTGACGGCTCCCTCCGGTACAAGCGGCTCAGTTAACGACAACGCGCTCACAAACGTCTCACCATTTCTTTTCTTCTTAGCTCCGCTGCCCCCTTCCTTCCCATCTAATGCCATCAGCCCAGCCCCCTCATCAACAATCAAATGCAACCCCCTCTCCTGACAGAACTCCAGTAACTCCCGTAACGTTTCTCGAGGGTAGCATCGGGAGAGGGGGTTGTTAGGGTTAGACAACAAAACAGCTTTAATCCGCGTTCTGTAGTCGGAGAAGTCGTAGGCGGCTTGCAGCGAGGGGACGAGGTAGTTGTCCCAGTGGATGTGGGTTGGTGGGATGACCGCGATGGGTGTTACATTTGCTTTTCGCTTCAGTAAGAGCGAAAGGGTGGCTGTGGTTGTATCAGTCAAAGACGGCAATTTTGTAGGTGAGGGTTGGACAAAGTTATGGATATGACCGGGGCTTAATGTGGAAGGAATGCTTACGACAACTCGGACCAGGAACAAGCACACTATCTCCATCATCGCAAACAGCGTGGATCACGTTCTCAATCGCGTCCGTAGTCCCAGCTGTAAGAACGATATGTTCAGCCCTCACAGCATGCACAGGCTTGAAATACGAGTTGAAAAAGCCCGCAAGAGCATTCCTCAACCCTAAATCGCCGCCGTTAAGAGATTCCGTGGGGGACGTAAATGCCTATCGTAGATTCATACCAAATTAGTACATGCGCAAAACTATACTTGTATAAACGCATCCCGACGATCTCCAAAACCGGAGCGAACATACCTCAACCGCCCCCACATCCCTCACAACATCCCCCAGAAACTTTTGTAACTCGGGATACAACACCTCATTCCCCCCACAACTAAGGTCAATCGTATTGCCAAAAGGATCAAACGTCTCTGGCGCGGTACCCTCCAGCGCAGGCCCAAGCCCGTCGAGCGCGGAACGCGCTCGTCGCGACAGTCCGGGATCCATCATGGCTGAGACGGAGAGGTGGCGCGTGCTGCGCATTCAGGATGCAGGATGCAGGATGTAGTATGGCGATGCGTGATGTAACAATATTGAGGTGGAGTAGCTACAGCTGCTGCACTGTGGGGAAAGTGACCCTGCAGCACGTCGCTGTCGCAGATAAAAAACGTTGCGATCTCATTGTCCGGGGTGTGCTGCCAAGGGTGGTCGCTGCGGTCTGCGGCACAGTTATTTGTGAGGACCCAGGGGAGTGGTAACCTGGGGCTGACGCGACGCGTTCTGTTGGTTGGGCGAGCGAGGGACGGGTCATAGCTTCGATACGGTGACGGGATGGGTATCTCGAAGAAGAGTAGGAAAAGAGGACAGAGTGAAGATTATAACATCTATTATTCGATTCGCGATAATAAACACAAGCGTGTGGGGAATCTCTGAAGAAGTCAAGGAAGGGAAAAACGACATCTCCCCTCTGCACCAAGACCATGCAAGTCATAGAGCCTGCACGCGTGCTTTTCTCCCCTGGTCTATCCTAAGCCTCATGCCCTGCCCTGCCTATCACTATTACACAAATGCATGCCCCAAGCCAGACCAACGCCGTTGAAGATGCTCACAGTCAAATGCATGCAGAGCGCATGCAGGGTCTAAGATAAGCGAAGAGCTACGAAGCCCCATGAGCGCCCTCGAGGAAATCTGTGTGGGCCCGTCTCGATTTTGGGTGAAGCGCGGCAATTCGTTCGTGCAAGCGCAAAGATGACTGCTCGTCGAGAAAATGAGGTCGAATCGGCAAGTCGCTATTCTATTGCTGTGGCCGTCCGATGCCTTGCTTAGCCTGAGGAATTGTAAGCTTCGTCGTTAAATGTAAAACAAAGACGGCGGTCTTCTTCAAAGTGGGAGGTGTCGAACTGACCTTCATCATCTCAATCCTCTGCTTGAGATTTTGGGTAACCTCTGCTGCACGCTTCCAGCTTTCCGCACCAGATGCTCCTGCGGAAGGTACCCGTTGAGCTGTTCCGTTCTCTGTTGGGCTCCTGCCATCACGCGACATCGACGACAGACCATCTGCTCGTGGACTTAGTTTTCCGCTCAAGTTACTGCCAGGGCGAGATAGAGAATCAAAGTTCTCCTTACCATCGCCGCCCGGGCTTCCTGGCCCACTGGCAAAACTCCTCTCTCGCCTTGGGTGCATGGCCCGACTGCCGTAGCCAGAGTCACCGAAATGCGCGCCGTTGGTGTTACCAACTCCGTTGTCAGTGTAGATCTGGTCTCCGACGTCTGTAGCTGGCGGAGAATTTGAACGCGCCTGCCTAAGGAGTTCGCGCTTCAATCTATCAATCTCGCGGCGCTGGTTCTGTACTGTCTGTTCGGACGCTTCAAAGTCTGAGCGCGCACGGACGAGCTGCGTCTCCTTTGCCTTTATCGAGAGCACGTCGCGGGTGTGATCTTCGATGAGTTGGGCGTTCTGGTTCTGGAGCTCATGGATCTGCGAAGTGAGGTTTGTCCTTTCTCCACGCAAATCTTCATTCTGTCGCCGTACTCGTTCAACCTCTGCTCGTAGCTCATCAAGTTCCGCACGTTCCACCAGGCTGAGGCCGGTTGGCGCTTGTGGTGCTGGGGCGGCGACGGGTTCAGCAGCAGGCCTTCCTAGGGGACGACCTGCGAGACCACGACCGGCACCAAACTTGG